CAGGAGGGCGGCCGCGCCCGGCAACGGCCCTCCTGCGGCGCCGGGGCGCCGGCCGCGCTGCGCGCATGCGCGGCCAGCTCCAGCGTGAACCACTCAGGTTCCGGGGCCCGCCAATTCCAGAACCTTCTGGAACGCTCATGCTCGCTGAAGGTCAAAGTTGAGCTGACCTCACTTCCGGGAGGGTAGCCGACCCCGGGAACCGGCGGGCGCCGCGCAGCGCGGTTCGCGGCGCCCGCCGGGGTGCCAGCCGCCTCCGGAAACGGGACGTGACCCCGGGGCTGAAAAATAACCGGCGGAATTAAAGCGGGCCTGGGCCGGGGCGGGGGAACGGGCCCCGCCCCGGGGCGGGGCCACGGGCGCGCATGCGCTGGCGGTGACCTTTCTCACGTGCGCCTGCGGCGGCCGGGTCACTCGGTGGCGGGGAGTGCAGCGGCGGTCATGGTGAGTGCCCGCCGCCCGCGCACCGGCCCGGCGTGCCCAGCGGCGCGACGGGGGGAAGGGGGGGGGCGGACGGCAGTCCCCCCAGGGCGCGGTGGCGGGCCCGCTTCGCCGCCGGGGCCTCTGAGCAGCCCGCGGCCGCGCCCGGGTGTTTCCTCGGCCTGCCGCGGGGCTGGGCTGGGCTGGGCTGAGCGGAGGGAGGGAGGTGGCGGGCTCGCGGCGGCGGGCCGCTCCTTGCGGGGGATGTCCGCAGCGGTCCGGTAGTGCCGCAAGGTCACGGGCAGTGCGCGGGGTAGGGAGGGTTAGAGCGGCCGGCGCGGCGGCTGCGGGCCGGGGCTGCGCGGCGCCTGCCCGTGGTTTCCCGGCCGCTTCGGCGAAAGGCTGTTGCCGGCCCTGGGGTACCGGGAGTGTCCCGCGCCGCGGTTCTTCCCTGCGGAGCCTGCGGGGGAAACCGAGACGTTTTGTGCCGCGCTCCTTCTCCGCGGTCGTACGTCTGGCTGCTTCGTCCTGTGAAGCACGGGCCACTTCCAAAAAAAGGCGGCCAGAGACGTTATTTTCACCGAACGAAGATGATCCCAAGCGGCAGGCTTTTCCCTCTGCCGTTTTGCATCGTTGTGGTAGTAATGGTAGCTGGGATGCGCATCTCTCATGTGCTGTCTTCTGCTCTTCGTGCTCTGCCTGTAATTTTGTTTTCTCCCGATTTTAAAGCCTGTGTGTATATTGGTGCGTGTCAGTAAAGGGCGTGTGGATGCCAGGCCTTTGTTTCCAGTTGTTTCTATGAGTGTGGGCTCTGGGTACCTGTCTAGTGGAGCACTACCTCCATGTGACTTGGCAAGTTGCCCTATCTTTCCTTCTAAATCAAGCAAGTTCCTTTTTCCTGACCACTGCAACTTGTTGGGGTTCGGCGCTTGCATTTATCAGCCAAGCAGCAGTAAGTAGTTGCAGAAAAATCCCAAACGAAAAAAAACCCCAACCCACCCTAACTCTGCTTAAGCAGAGGCAGATACTGAAGCAGTCAAGGTAGAAGTATGCCTACCTACCTATTTTTAGGAGCTTAAACCTAAAGCTTATTGTAAAGTTGCAGTCTGTGTTTAGAGGTCAATAAAGTAAGAGCGCTCTCACATCACACTTCAAACTTTGGAGGCTGTATGTTGTTATGTGAAACGCTAAGGCTTGAAAGTACCTGAAGAAGACTGACATGGGGTACCTGGCTAGACTTTTGCTTTACTATAAAACAATCCGCTACAGGAATAAAAACACAACTGTCCCAAGAGGTCCCTAATCATTTGAATAAATATGGTTTGTATAATCAATAATTATGCTCTAACTGAGAGTTTGGGATTCAAAGCCTGTGGAGCTTTTCAGCTGGAGGAGGTGGTTACTCTGTCTGGTGATGGTTTATTCCCCCAGCTGGAGTACATCTTCCTGCAGCTGAACTGTCAGGATTGCCCAGCATCTGCTTGGGTCTTTAGCAATTTCTGATGCAATCAAAGGTGGCATATGTTTGCTACTATTAAAAACCAATGCTAGCAGTTTTCTTAAATGTTAATTTCTCTCAAAAGAGAAATCACTTTGTTTTGGGGTTTTGGTTTTTTTTTTTACTCTTTTTAATTGCATTTTCGTTGTAATGTGCCTCATGTTACAATGTACAATTACTTCCACAGGCAGGAAAAGCATTTAGGAAATTTCTTCCCCTCTTTGATCGTGTTCTGGTTGAACGATGTGCAGCTGAGACAGTAACCAAAGGAGGCATCATGATTCCAGAAAAAGCTCAAGGGAAGGTGCTACAAGCGACAGTAGTAGCAGTTGGATCAGGAGCCAGAGGAAAGGTAAATACCCTGAACTGTTACATTTGGGTAGAATTAGCAATGGTGTGGAGGTAGCTGGAATATTATCATAAGAAAGGGATGGTTGCAGTGTAAATGCAGTGATACCTCACCAAAATGGATGATGGCAACAACTGAAGTTGGAAGTACAGGTTCAAAGAGGAGGTAGAAATCTCAAGTTCTCCTGACTGGGTCTGACTTTGAATTCCAGCATTCCTTCCATCATTTGTAAAAGGGAGAATACTTGCCTTTTAAAAATCAGTATTATTTATTGACATTTATAAGCAGCTTTAAACTGCTTGTAATGGTGTGGGTTTTGGTGTTGTTGGGTTTTTGGTTTGGGGGGGGCATTTGGTGTTTGGGTGTTTGTTGCGGGGTTTTTTGTTTTTTCATTTTGATTGGTGTTTTTTTTGTTGGTTTTTTTTTTTTAGTTTTAAATATGTGAAGAGTGTTTTGGGGGATATCGTGTTTCATCACTTCTCAGCCAAAACCTTGGAGGACTGGCAGCTTTCTTTGTTAAAATGATTACATGCCCGAATTTCTGTGACTTGTGAGCAGGGTCGAGTCCCAGAAGTGGCATTTGCTGTCATGTGCTGTGCAAAGTATCATTGTCCATAGGGATTAGGCTTACTGGACAAAAGAAAAACATGAATCAAAAGAAATAATTTTTTGTTAATTTTGCATGTTGAATACATGTCTGGGATCATAAAAAAAGTCATTCTTCACAAGACTGCCAATGGCTATGGGCTTCAGGATCAGAATGGGTTTTTCCCCACCAGAGTAGTATTCAGTTAGTAGCAATAGTGGAAAACAGGTTAAATTTCAACTAGGGCATGTTGACTCAGACTTCTTCTTTACCATGGGTCCCTCCATACATATCATGCTGGTTTGTGTCAATACCTGATTTTTAAAGCTTTATATTGTGAAATGGTGCATCAAAGTAACGAAGATGGGAAGGTACTTTTAACTGGCACTTGGACAAATTAGCCTTGGCTATAGAATATGGAAATGGACTTTCTCCCTTCATTTTAGAAGGGGGTTTGATGGTCTGTCACTTAATTTCTCAGGTTTCTTGGATGGTTTTTTTTCTTTAAGTGAAGGCCTATTCAGTATGTCAAGCAAGGACCTCACAGTTGTATTTACACTCAAAACTAAATGAAAACTACTTATATTCAGAAAATTACTGTAGTTCTGCTGCCTGAATATTGCAGGACTCCCATGCTTGAGAACTGACGGGTGTGCTTTTCTTCCTAGTAAACCTGTATATTCTAGTTTCACTATACAATGAAAACACATAGTAGTTGTGATTTCCTGAATGTTTTATCATTGGATCATTGTAGTTTGAATTCTATTACATCTGTCTATATTGTGGAAAACTAAGGATTTCTTTTTTTCTTTCAGAATGGTGAGATTCAGCCAGTGAGCGTAAAAGTTGGTGAAAAGGTTTTGCTACCAGAATATGGTGGTACTAAGATTGTACTAGAAGATAAGGTAGGTTTCCCAACTTTGTGAATGCAAATTAAGCTGGTTCCCAAAATGCCATACTGCCAGTGATAAATACTGTAGTTACTTCATAGCATTAGCAGCATTCAAGGAATGCAGTTGTTCGTATTGAAATGGGAGCAGCTGAATCCTGCCAGCTTCTTGTACCTGTAGTACTTGCTACTTCCACCCCTGCTTAAAAGGAAGTAACCAAGGAGAAACCTCTGGCCTGACCTTTGCTGAGTGGACAAAGTGGCTCTATATGCCAGTCATGTATTAGAGGGAACCCTAAAAGGCTTTGAAATTACCGGGGGTATCCTTGCTTTTGACAGGGAAAGCTTGCAGAACTGTCTTCTGATGGTTCTTGCACTTCCTACTACTAAAAATAGTAATTTGGTAGCTTTCCCAAAGAGTATCTTATGAACAAAAAAGTCTTTTGAAGAAGTCAACATGTAGAGCTAGTTGTGGTTAGCTCACTTTTGATTCTGTACTTCATGACTGTGGCAGCCCTGACTTCAGAACAAGACAGTATTTGCAAAACAACTGAAAAAACAACTGATTTTACAGGTACTAATATTTCTTTTCTTTGCAGGATTACTACTTGTTTAGAGATGGTGACATTCTTGGGAAATATGTGGACTAAACCTGTTGCAGTATCAGTCATCCATTCCACAAAAATGCTGAAATTTTTCTTTCATCATGTAAATAATGTCCTTTGTTTTATAATAAGTAGGCATTGAGTCTCTGAAATAAATTGTGATCTTACTGTAGTGATGGAACACAAATAAAAATATGTACAGTCAGAAATTAGTTGCTCTTGCTTGAGTTCCATTGAACAGTGAAATTCAGACGACCACCAACCAGCCTTAATTATTCCAAACAACATCATTTTATATCCTTATCTCTGTACTGAGATTGTAAAGGTCTTTACAATAAACTTCTAAAACTATTCTGCTTCTGTCTCAGTTTCTGGTATTGCTCAGTGAAACTGAGTCTCAATTGTGTAATAAACTAATCTCTCTGAAACAATTCAATTGTATTAATACATCATTTTCCCTAAACTTGTATGAAGTTGGGAGATGAGTTTAAAAGGGTTATCGCACAGATGCAGCGATGAAGGGGACTTTCAGATAGCTCCTTTGCACATTGAACTTTATCTTAAGATAACATGGGTTTTTAGCTATTGCTAAGGCAAAAGAAGTTAAGACGTGTACACTGGAAGGTTAATGCACACAAACCACCCTGCCACAAATGGCCTGTCCCACAGCAGTCTAAAAGGAGCTTGGTATTAGTCACACCTGTGCTAGAACAAAATCATCCAGTTCACAGATGAAGCAGATAAGAATTACATATCTCTCACTGAATTTTGCCAATAGGAAACAAGTAACTTCCCTCCAGCAGTTAATCAGTCAGGCAGAATTAGGGCTGATGCTGATCTTAAACCAAATTTCGTTACTGATTACTGTCTCAGGCCAGATCTCCAGCTTTCCTATAACTTGGTAGAGAGCGTTTACCTAAGTAATGCTGAAGCAATGAAATTTGCATATTTCTAACCCACCCTGTCTTGCCTTGGAAAAGGATTCACAGTTGTTCATGCAGGAGTACAGAAACCTGCACTTTATACTCTGTGTTCCTAATGATGCTTTCAAAGTTGGTATGCATACATTGATCCAGTGCAGTTTAAGAACATACACTGCCTTAAAATGTTTTGATGTAGTCTTATGTGAAATAAATCAGTATATGACTTACTTACTGCTACTGCAACTTTAACAGCAGTAGCTAAATGGTACTTCTTTCTCATTCTGTTCAAGTTGTTAGGAGATCAACATTGCTAGATAGATACACTATGAGGCTTATTCTGGAGATACCAGGAAAGGGCTGTAATGAAAAATACCTTAGTAGCTGCAGTGGGGGACTTCAGCTTTGACATATTCTGAAAATATTTTCTGCTGGGACAGTTTTGGGTCCCTACCCCCAACAGCTAAACTTCAGCACAGAGTTGAGCTGGAGCCACTTCTTTGCCTAGATGCCAACAATCACCCAGCTATTCCATTAGGAGCTACATTTGACAATCCTGGCTGTAATGTCCTTTGCTCCCCATAGTTGTGGGGTGTGCTGCTTGTTGGCTGGTTACCACCTACCAGCTTTGGAGCTGTAGGCAAACCAGGCAGAAGTTACACTCTGCAGGTGGTTAAACTCCCACTGAACTATGTGCTAACAGGGAAGATGCTAAATTAAATTAAAAACCAGTATGTTTTGGTATAAAAGCCCTAGTTCTTGAAATCTGCCCTATTGGAGTTTTACTTCAGTATTTACAGCAGTGCACTTTACAGCTGAAACTTAAGATTATCACACTACAAGTATTTTGAAAGACAATTGATTGTGCAATGAAACACAAACTGATTGAGAAGCATTATCTTCCACTAGAGCAAGCATGCCTTTATCTTCCATGATAAGGTAGGTATTCTGGTGTATTCACATACCAAAGAGGGGAAGGTATTTAACAGGAGTTACTACAGAACTATACCCCATCTTGATGAGAAAAAGATGGTAGGAATCGACTTCCAATGAGAGAAATGTTTAGGCCTAACATTTCAGCATTTCTTTCAAGAATGTCTTTTAGACACATGAATTACATAGGATCCCCACTCAGCAAAGAATTTCACAGCGTTTACAGTTCTTCTGTATGAGGAGCCACTACAATCTGTGGGGGTGTGATCTGCGGGCAGGTGATCAGGAGGTAGCACATATCCCCTTACTACTTGAACTACTTGCCTTCATCCCCAGGCACTGTACTCCTCAGCCAAGGCAGCACCAGTGTACCAGCCCATGCCCCAGCAGGATCACACTGAACTCGCACTGCAGTGCTGCCGAGCGTGCACCACACGAGACTGTCTCCCCCAAGTCTTATCTCTGACCCATGCTTTCAGCCCCAACAGATTTTCAGCAGCTTGATATGCTTATTTAATAAAATATTTAGCATGGCTGTATCTACTAGTGTTTACATAACTGATTGAAAACAAAAGTCACATTTTCCTGAAAACCTTCATGGAAATAATTAATTTATGGATGTGTGTGTGGGGGGAAACATTCCTAGGCCTAATCAAATGGAGGACACGCTTGAACATCTGCTGGATCAACGGACAGAGAACATTTTATTCTTGCACCATAAACTATCACTACAAGCAAGGACAAGGTGACTTACATAGCCAAGGCAATCCATCTGCTGTTCCTGTTTCTTCATCCATGATGGCATGCCAAATTCTATATCCCTCAGGTTCTATAGAGGAGGACAGAATCAATCACAAATGCTCTTTTCTTTGCTGTGTTGTTCCTGTAGGAATTTAGACTTCTTTATTCCACTGTTTTCTAGACTATTTCAAAGCTTCAATTTTGGCAAAAATGTTACATATTGCCCTACCTGGTTTTGGCAAGGGGATACAGTCCCTCCCAGCCTTTCCTCAGGCTGAGTCACAGGTAAAAAAGATGGACTCCCATCTACTTTTGCTACTTTCCTTTCTTAACGTTTCAGAGCAACTTCTGTTAGCAGCAGCTATACTGCTTTCACAAAAACGTCCTCATTAAGTTATCCTGCCGTAGGAAGAAAATAATGAATCTTCTACTCACTAGCAGAGAAGAAAGGAAGGCCAGGTCCCTAACAGCACAGGAATACTCAGTAAGATTTTGGCCAAATATTCCATTTTTCACTCTTGAAGGTCATGAGGCAGTGAGGACCAGGTGAAAACTAAAAAGTGAAATTACTGTTGATCAGATTTTGTTTAAAAACAACTTGAAATCCTATAAAACAAAAATAATGAGCAGCTTTCGGGAATACAGGGTTAATTATCAAGGGGCAACAGGAGAGACCTACAGGCTTTAACACCTTCATTAAGAAACACTGCAGATTGCTTTCCTTTTTCTGCAAACCCACGAGCCAGTTTCAGACTGAACTAGCAGATACATATTTCTCCCTGAGAGGTATTTCTTCACAGCCAGATTTATTTCCATTTTAGAAGCAAGATGTCCATGAAATAAAAGTCAGGGACAAATAGAAATGTCAAATCCCCAAATCTTCTGTGCTTTAGATATCACTTAAACCTTGAATATGATGATAGAAAAAGGAAAAACAAAAAACAACCAACCCAAACCAAACAAAAAAAAACCCCAAACAAGCTGCTGAATTTTAAGGGACTTAAACAGCTAGAATTGCTTTTATTTTGGGACTGGCTAATTAAAATATCAATCTCATAAAAAATTAATGTTGGATTACAGCTAATCTAATGAGGTAATAGGAAATTTGTGTACCCTTCATTGTAATGCACCAACTTCTCCCAACATTATTAACTTTTTCATGGTTTCTTACACAAACTGCTCAGTTTCACCACATGACTCAAATAGCTAACATCTCAGGGGCAGGAATGCTGACCAGGAGTAAAAAAGTAACTAATGCAAACTGAACTCAGGTGCCTAAAGTTAGGAATGCCACCTCTGTGTTACAGTGTAACGTGAACAGAGCTGCCATTGCTGTCAATATAAACTGCTGGTTAGCTGGGTGTGTGCACCCAGGCAGGAGATGACCCCGTTACCTATTTCTCATTGCTCACACATTGTCCCGTTTTTAGCTCTAACCTGGCCTCCAGAACAGGGCGGGATCCTGGCCATGGCATTGCCCAAGCAAAACAAGTATTCAAAATACAACTTGCTTTCTGATGGGAAAAACTAATTAGAGATTTTTCAATGCTTTCAATCCAGAAATGTTTCATGTACTCTAATTCTCATTGGGTAGAGGTTTTAACGTGGGGAAGCACATGTTATTTAGAGCAAATTAATTGACTGAGTGAGGGAAACCACACCTAGCATTCACTCTGTAATGCATTGGAATTAGAGGCAGCATCAGGGACCAGCATTCTCCACTTTTCAGGAGACAATACACAACTGCAACCATGTATTTTTTGATTGTACAAGGGGAGGTATCTCATCTTTACCTTGTTGCTCCTTCATGCTCACAGACAGAAGCAATTCACTCTGACTTAGCAGTTCTGTACTTCTTCCTACCGTCTATTCCCTAGAAAGAGAGCAGTCTCCAAATCATTTTCTTCTCACTCATCCTACAGAAATAATGTGAACCGCTCTAGTCTTCCAAAATGTCTACTGGCTTGTAAGAGGGACCTACTTGTCAGCCTACTATAAGCCAACAGTGCCTTTTTTCCCAAATACAGTCAACACATGTAACACCCGACTTAGTAAACCTTGAAACCCAAGCTAACTCTGTTTTCCATTAGCACAGCAGTCTCTGACCTCTGTACACAGAACTCATGAGTCTGGCAATCCTGCCTTTGAAGACCTAGAAAGGCTTCATACCTACTTTGTCTGAAGTGTTTTGTCCCAAATCACTGTTGTTGGGGTTTTTTTTATTCATTATTCTTAGCCTTAACAACCATGTCTCTTCAATATAAGACTTTAAATAAAAATTCACACCCTTACAGTTTATGTTGTACAAAACTGTACAGACTCAGTTGTGTTGTACCGAGACTTCTATAGAGCAAGCAAGGGCTAATGTTGTGGGAGAGCATGCACAGTCAGGTGCTGACAGAGGAATACCGATGAAACGGGATGAAATCGGAAGAATGCATTTTCTCAACAACCAGTCAGCTCGTTAATCTCTGGAGACTTCATCTCACAAAACCAACAGCTCTGCTCACTGCTACACCCCTGTCCCCGTGGAAGCGGCCTCGCTGTGCCGCTCACGCTTCCTCGGGCAGGCACCGAGAGACCTGGATGGACAGAAAGTGGCAGGAACCGCCATTAGAACTGTCCCCATCTCCCGGGTGTGGGTGTGTGGGGGTGGTGGTGGGGTTGTCCCTCACGAATGTAAGTCTCCCAGGAAAAGGCTTTCGAAGAGGCTGCCCGCACGGCTCTGCGCCACAGAGAGGCCCGAGCAGGCGGGGAAGCGGCCGCGGCCTCCCCGGGCCTCCAGCCCCGCGCGCGGGGGGGACGGCTCTTCCGCGCACCCCCGCGGCCGGGAGAAGGAAGAGCACGTACCGGTACCGGGGCCCGCCTCACCGCCCGCCGCCCCTCAGGGCCGCCTCACGTCTCCTCTCGCGAGAAGCGC